CTCTACAGGGCACTTTCTGAATGAATCAATACTGGTCCTGGTGGTCATTAGAGCACTGATGGATCAGAGCCAGGCTGCCCTTTTAATGGTAGGATTTTCCATCAACACGACTCTGGATCACTCTTATTCATCATAATAGGTAAAAACATGGGTATGTGAATACCGCCGTTTCCCTGCAGCATCGTTTAAGTGACGGATTGTGAATATGGCCCGTCACTCCTCTGCGCAGTCTGTCATCCGTTTAAGAGAATTCATCCTCYGAAGGTCCCCCTTTCATTAATGCAGCACTCATCCACACTCAGAGAAAGAGGCCTCGTGAAAACATAAAGTGACCTTGGATTAATAGATGTCCTTTCTGTTTGAGACACACACATCCTCCAGCCTTTCCCTCCGGCTGCGTGAAAAAAAAGCAGACAGCAGATGGATAAATACCGCCTGCCTCRTCTTAAAAACTTATCACTGTGACATGTGACACTGACTGATAGACGTTGGCAAACAGATTTTCTCCTCTGCCCCAAAAGACATTTCTCTTTCTCCATTTGTTCCTGCATGGATCAAATAGTAAAAAGATGTGAGCCAGATGCCTGTCTGTCTGTTGACAGCACTTAGTTACCCAACACTGCCACTGAGTCACCCTCTTTTTTTTCTGGCAACTTGTCCTATTTTTAATAAATGTCACACATTTGGCATTATGGTATCTTAGTGGAGAAACTTAGGGAGCCAAAGTTAATGAAAAAAGCAAAAACAGACACACAGATGTGCTTTTCCTGTTGGATGTCGAGGAGTTTAGCTTCTCGATAACAAAAAATTGTCAAGAAATATTTTGTTTTGTTTTTTCAGATCACAGAGATTAACGAGTAARAGTGGCTGTGTAAAAAACCTCTCTAAATTGGAGCTCAATCAGTGCTGAAGAGCAGAAAGAGGGGACTCAAAAATGAAGAAACACTGCCATCTGGAGGAAATGGTGTCTTTCTCTCAACTTTCATCACTCCAGGAAATTTCAATCATAATATATTTAAAATGGGATCATTGTTTTATAAGAAACAAATATTAAGAACACATAAAGCACTATAAAATACTGTGGAAAATATAATTGATATTACACTAACTAAAATTTAAAAATCTGTTTATAACAAACATTGTTTCACGCCTTGCACATTTTGATCTTTTATACGTTTAGCACAAAAAGTAAAGAATAAATAAATCTTACTGTTGGAAATACTGTTAATTTCCCTTTTAAATGGTGCCACATTTGCAAGGAACATGCTTTTGTGGGATAATAATATTTATAAAGAACTTTCAAACAAAGTGCTGAACAATTACAAGGAGACACAACCAAAG